AAACTCTATCAAAAAAAAAAACCCAGAGTCACGTGGTTCATTAATGTTAAGAAGTGCAGTACAAATTTTTTGTGAAGAGTGTTCCACCGAAAACACCGAAACTATACCTTACATACATAAAATATTGCCTATAACGTGATTTATTTGACATTTTAAAGTAATATCCAAAACAAACAAAATATATATTTACATCCCAATAGTGGAGTTAACAGCAAAGAAAATTACTTGAATTGCGAAAAGAAACATTTATCTAAATAATTACGTTCGAAAAAAAAAAACAATATACATTTAACTATAAAATTTCAATATTATTGTACAACATTTAACTATTCTTAAATTTAAACTAATCTAAAGTTTAAACTTTGATTTGCAAAAAAAAGCAATAACTTTTGTGAGGTATACTTCCCCTCAAAAATTTACGTTCAATATTTTACTACAATCAAAAACACTACTAGAATACTACGAAAAAAATGATTGATAAACGAAAAAAGAAAACATACATAAAACAAAAACAAAGTTCATTGATCAACGAAAAAGAAACATACTTAAAACAAGAACAAGCGAAATCATTCATAGTCTAAGAAAGCAAACTGAAACAATATTCCCATATATACCAACAACGAACTTTCTTCATCTAAGAGAACACTCCACCTACATCCAGTACCTGCAAGGAGGCCTTCTAGCAGAGCGGAGATAAAAGGGGTAAGCTCAAATTAAAAACCATTGAAATGTTTGTAATATTTGTCTATTGATTTTGTTTGCTTTCATTGCATTTGCAGAGAAATCATAATATGTAAGAAAAACATTGCTTTGCGATTCAATGTTAACAGTGAAGATAAACTTAAATTAATTTTAACATTTGAGTGAGAATAAATAATCAGCTCAATTTTGGTTTTTGGTATTTGAATCGACAATGTAATGATCTTCCTTATTATGTTCTCTTTTAAAGGTTATTCATTCAAAAATTTAAAAGGAATTCATCTGTTAGATTTAATTAATTAACTATAAAGATAAAAACAACAAAAAGAAATAGATAATAATTAAGTTTTTAGCAGGCTAAACTCTTAATCATAATGAAAACATGAATTTAACCCATTAAGAGTCGTTTAGTTATGTTAGGCAATACATAAACTGCTGCTAGCTTATAAACAATGTAAAACTAAGAAAGTAAATTCCGACTACAATGTCCACTACAATACAAAATATCATTATCAATTATTCCTAAATATTCACTTTCATACTAAATTTCTAATATTTTAAAATATTTAACTATGATCTGAATAAATTATAATTACTATTGAATATGGAGCTATAAACATTATTAGGCGATTTTCTTGTATAATGGGTCACTGATTGATATAGCGTGATATTTTTTATGGGATTCTACCTTAAATTGTATGCCAGCAGAATATTGGTTGACGAGGGTAAAGAGGCTGTTACTCTCAATATGATCTGAGAGTACGAAAATTTAAAAGGCATAAACCGACTTCAGAAAGTTTACTTTAAAATCACAGATTTCTTATGTGGGGTATTTGGTATGATCATATTTTTATTTTTTTTTGTCCATTTATCGTCTTCAAATGTATTTAAAACAGGGAGTCTATAATAATGGAGGGACAAGAACCCCCCACCCGACTGTAGCTAGGGATAAAAGGCTCCCACCGTCCTCTTTCATTTCAAATCCCTGGATGCCTCAGAAATATTAACACAAAAATTGCATTCAACGATCATTCGTGTACGTTACATAATTTAGCGCCCAACGTGGGGCCATAAAGATTTTACCCAGTCTTGTGGCTCTGTTTTTTTTTTTTTCAAATTTTTAGAGTTCATTTTCATGAGATCTCGCCATATATAGTTTTTATGACAGGATAGAAGGTTTTAAATAGTTATCTGATCCTTACTGGAATATCAGCAGATAGAGGTTTACTTCATCCATCATTTTCTAAAATGTTGTAAATGCAATTTGGCCTCTCATATGGTTTCGTGTAGATGTTTTGTTTTCCAACAACTTGTAGACTTCGTTATCAACAACTGTTGTCTCTCAGGATAACATTTTTTTTACATTTGTGAATAAATGTCCATTGATAAACAGTTAGTGTATTCAATAGATAGTAAATCCATTGGTTGATTTGTCCAATTTCTTTATTATCAAAACTCTACACATAACTTCATAGCCCTGTCTTGATACTTCGTTAGTCGTATGTCTTCACTCTATTCAATTATACCCATATTTATACAAGAAATGCCCATAATAATCACATCAAATTTTCTTGGTTGAAAAATTTCTATTAATATATGTTTCTTCTATAATTTATTGTTTATAAACATTTCCATAATTAGTCTATTTACAAAGTAGAATTAATAGTAATTTTTTTGGTTCTTTCATATTCCATTTAGCTTTACATAGCTTAAAATTATTGCCAATATCCTTATCCAATAATTAAATTATCAGAATTTTCCTTAATCGGCCTATCATTTGACTTCATATTTTATCTATTTCCTTTCATAATGGCTGAGACTTCTCAATCTCCACAGCCAGATGAGCAACATCCAGTTGCTTCTGCTACTTCTTGTTCTTTATTATGTCCTGTTTGCATCAATGGACGAAGGCCAAGAATGCCTAGGTATAAGCGAATGTGGTCACTGGCAGGATTGCCTGGAAGAACGTACAGTATTTTGTTACGGCTGTGGGGTCAAGAAAACATATAAGCCACAATGCACTTACTGCTTGTCCAAATCACAGTCAAAAAACTTAAAACCAGTGGTCCATCACAAGAACCAAGCATAAACATTTCCACTCAAACAAATTTTACGTGTAATACTGCACCAGATTTTCCAGAAACTACACAAACTTTTCCAAAACCCAACCATGACAGTCAACAACCCATATTTACTATACTAAAAAGACCTTATTCTGACTTTGGTCTCGACAAAAATAATACCACTATATCTCAAATTATATATCCGAGATTGCCTTTTCACAAAAGGTGGGAAATGTATGTGCGGAAAAGAGATGAAATATTCAATGTATCAGAGATCTCCCGTACCAAAAAGCCCAAAAGATCCACTGTTCGTCTACGTCAATTTTTCAGAACCAGAAAAATTTGTCGAAATATTCGCATATCTAGCATAATTTCAAATCCAAACGATATGCGATATTATGCAAAGGTATCCTTCCTCGGATTTGAAGAACACGGTCTCCTTGATACTGGAGCAAATATTAGCTGCATTGGTGGAAGTTTAGCCCAGCACAATTTTTCAAAATATAATAATTTTAGAAAAGCTAAATCCAAATTTCAGAACAGCGGATGGAAATATTCAGCAAGTATTAGGGTGGATCGATACAAATGTCACCTTCAGAGACAAAACTCGAGACCTTAAGATCTTTATCATACCTACTATTTCCCAGAACCTTGTCTTAGGTATTGACTTCTGGAAGGCATTTGACATCCTTCAGAACCTTCTCAATACGTCAGATATAATTGGCTTGAAAAACAATGGTATTACCTCACCAATCTTGGTAGAGATTGATTTTCCAAAAGACGAGATGGAAAAAGAACCAACAAATGAATCATTTTTCATGTTGTCCGCTAATGAAAAACAACAGCTAGAAGCTGTTATTAAAATGTTTCCAAATTTTGAAATTCAAGGGCTTGGCAGAACAAATTTAATCAAACATTCTATTGACGTTGGTATGCACAGCCGATAAAACAAAGTTTTTATCCTGTTTCGCCCGCTGTAGAAAAATTGATGTTCGGAGAAATCGACAGGATGCTTAAGTTAGGGGTAATTGAACCCCTATTTCCGCCCATTGCTTTTATGAGCAAAAAGTTAAACAGTGCTCAGCGTAACTACTCAGTTACGGAAAGAGAATGCTTAGCAGCTATAGAAGCAATCAAAAAATTTCGTTGCTATCTAGAATTGCAGGAATTCGAGGTGATCACTGATCACTCCAGTCTTTTGTGGCTAATGAGACAACCCGATTTGAGCGGTAGACTCGCTCGCTGGGTTTTTAAGCTACAACCATACAAATTTTCTTTTAGTCACAGAAGAGGAAGTGATCATGTGGTCCCCGATGCCCTTTCCCGAATTCCCGAAAACGAAGTTTGCAGCATTGACCTTTCTGACCCCGGAATTGACTTGGACTCACAGTTTGACAATGATTTGGAATACAATGATTTAAAAAGACGTATTAAGGAAAATGAAGCCCAATATCCTGATATCAAGGTAATTGATAAATTCGTGTACTATCGTACAGAACACTACACCGGTGATGAAACCCAAGAAAATTTATCTCGGAAGCTTTGGGTTCCTCCCAGCTCAGAAAAGAGACAATATTTAAAGCTCACGATGTTCCCGTTGCGTCTCACGGAGGCATGACTAAAACTCTTGAGCTACTCAGACGAAACTTTTTCTGGCCTGCAATGGTTCGAGATGTCCGTGATTACATTCGAAACTGCGAGGTCTGCAAGACCATGAAACGCCCAAATATGGTCCTTAAACCGTCCATGGGAAAATTGGTTTTAACATCTCGTCAATTTCAGCGCTTCTACATCGACCTTCTAGGACCTTATCCACGGAGTAAGACCGGACACATTGGCTTACTAATAGTATTGGATCACATGTCCAAATTCCATTGGATTCTCCCTTTACGCAAATTTACATCGAATATGATCCAAGACTATTTATTAAAACATATATTTCATGTATATGGTGTTCCAGAATACATCGTTTCTGACAATGGAAGTCAATTACGATCTAACGAATTAAATGCATTTTTTACGTCCCTTGGCATAAAGCATATTTATACCGCTCTTTATTCGCCAAAATCAAATGCATCAGAGCGTGTAAACCGCTCACTGCTTGCTGGCATTCGAGCGTACTTAAAACAAGATCACAAACAATGGGATCAAAATTTGAACTCCATCAGTTGCGCACTCCGAAATACCATACACCAATCAATAAAATGTTCCCCCTATCACGCCCTTTATGGTTTTGATATGGTAACTCACGGTTCCTCTTATGAACTTATGAGAAACCTAAAGCTCCTAAATGAGCCCAGCATAAATCTGCAAAGGGATGACCATTTGCAACTCATACGTCAAAATCTCCGTAAGTATATAAAAGAGGCATACGAGAAAAACCAACACGCTTACAACCTTCGAACCAGGCCACGGGCTATCGATATTGGTGAAACGGTATTCCGTAGAAACTTCTCTCAAAGTAATCTGGAAAAAAGCTTTAACGCCAAGCTTTCGCCAGTTTTCATCAAGGCCAAAGTGAAGGAAAAGTTGGGCAATCTCTACTACGTGTTGGAGGATGAAGATGGCAAGCATTCCGGAACATATCATAGCAAAGACATTAGGTCCTAAGGCAACGTCCTATTTCCGGCTAATTCCGTTCCGAAATGTCCGGAATTATCAGGTTTTGGGGTGGACGTTCTCATGTTTTTTTTAGAATTAAAATCCAACATCTTTCCACAATTTTTTCAATAAAATTTTACAAATTTTATTCCCATTCATTTGGGTCGACAATTTCATCATGAATATAATCTGCTAAGCAATTGAAATAATAGGCTTTCCAATCATCGCAAAATATTAATATATATTATTTCATTATGTATTGGTCGGAACACAACCCTTTTTATATTGCCCCTCCTCATTGGCACGCCTCTGCAAAAAAAAAAACGAAAAATAATAAGTACCAAAATAAAGCTGAAACAAGCAAACTTACCAGAAAAATTAATAGTGAGCAATTTCGCCGATTTGGATTTGCTTTTGATTTGGCATGATATTGCATTGTCATTTCTAGTTGGTTGTTTTGTTTTGATCATGGTTTTTATCGATCGTATGGCAATAGCAATTTATCGAACGACTTGAGGTACATCAATCAGGTATTACCAAATCTGAATATGTTTCTGACGATTATATGGAGGATATTCCATTCATTTTCTAGTTTTCGATACAATTTTCTCAAAATTTTAATTTTTCGCCAGAAACGAACTATGAAATCCCTAGTGCACAACATAAAATAGGTAAAGATTGAGCGAATATGGTTTCAAGTTTTCGAGCCATATTGCTTACTGAACACTTCTAAACATGTAATCGATCGATTGTAATCGTTCTAGCAGATTTGACGTTCTTTCTTTCCACTTTAATCCCCTCTATATGAATCGAGGCTTAAATTAATCTTGGCGATTCTAAGTACTTCCTTTTGGTACAGAACTTTGAAGAGATAAGAACAGAATTTTCTTGGGGAAAAGTCTTTAATTTCACATCCATCCTGCTACAATTTGGTCTCTAATCTAAAAAGGTTGGTACTTCGAAACTTCAACTTTTACATTTTAAAGTTATTTTAATAAAATGTCTTCTTTAGACCGACATTTCATTTAATGCCCTTGAATTTGTGTAATCCTACATCAAAAGACAACTTTTGGAATTTGGCAATTGAAAGACAACACGATAGCTTGTTCGTGCGTAGGCGAGGCTTTCTTAGTGGATCCACCTGCTGGGAACGTTGCACAGATCCAACATTGCACTTAGACAATCGTTTGTCCATGTGTTAAGGACGGACAGAGATTTGTGCAGCCTCGCCACATTTTACAACCAAACTCACTGTTCCGTTTTTGACATTGAGTTGAAGCAATAAATAATATTCCAAACGTTTGCTGATGGTGTGTATTTGGTGAATCAATAACCACCAAGATCAATTCGGATTCCATAACCTTCAAAATATCCCATTGGAGCCCCATGTCATGTGCTTCAATATTTGCTGAATCTGTCCACTACTACAGTATCCCAAAAACTCCCAGCAGTCACTTCTCATTATCATCAGTTTGTTGTGTCCAGTTTGTTCAAACTCTATCAAAAAAAAACCCAGAGTCACGTGGTTCATTAATGTTAAGAAGTGCAGTACAAATTTTTTGTGAAGAGTGTTCCACCGAAAACACCGAAACTATACCTTACATACATAAAATATTGCCTATCACGCGATTTATTTGACATTTTAAAGTAATATCCAAAACAACCAAAATATATATTTACATCCCAATAGTGGAGTTAACAGCAAAGAAAATTACTTGAATTGCGAAAAAAAAACATTTATCTAAATAATTACGTTCGAAAAAAAAAACAATATACATTTAACTATAAAATTTCAATATTATTGTACAACATTTAACTATTCTTAAATTTAAACTAATCTAAAGTTTAAACTTTGATTTGCAAAAAAAAGCAATAACTTTTGTGAGGTATACTTCCCCTCAAAAATTTACGTTCAATATTTTACTACAATCAAAAACACTACTAGAATACTACGAAAAAATTGATTGATAAACGAAAAAAGAAAACATACATAAAACAAAAACAAAGTTCATTGATCAACGAAAAAGAAACATACTTAAAACAAGAACAAGCGAAATCATTCATAGTCTAAGAAAGCAAACTGAAACAATATTCCCATATATACCAACAACGAACTTTCTTCATCTAAGAGAACACTCCACCTACATCCAGTACCTGCAAGGAGGCCTTCTAGCAGAGCGGAGATAAAAGGGGTAAGCTCAAATTAAAAACCATTGAAATGTTTGTAATATTTGTCTATTGATTTTGTTTGCTTTCATTGCATTTGCAGAGAAATCATAATATGTAAGAAAAACATTGCTTTGCGATTCAATGTTAACAGTGAAGATAAACTTAAATTAATTTTAACATTTGAGTGAGAATAAATAATCAGCTCAATTTTGGTTTTTGGTATTTGAATCGACAATGTAATGATCTTCCTTATTATGTTCTCTTTTAAAGGTTATTCATTCAAAAATTTAAAAGGAATTCATCTGTTAGATTTAATTAATTAACTATAAAGATAAAAACAACAAAAAGAAATAGATAATAATTAAGTTTTTAGCAGGCTAAACTCTTAATCATAATGAAAACATGAATTTAACCCATTAAGAGTCGTTTAGTTATGTTAGGCAATACATAAACTGCTGCTAGCTTATAAACAATGTAAAACTAAGAAAGTAAATTCCGACTACAATGTCCACTACAATACAAAATATCATTATAAATTATTCCTAAATATTCACTTTCATACTAAATTTCTAATATTTTAAAATATTTAACTATGATCTGAATAAATTATAATTACTATTGAATATGGAGCTATAAACATTATTAGGCGTTTTTCTTGTATAATGCGTCACTGATTGATATAGAGTGATATTTTTATGGGATTCTACCTTAAATTGTATGCCAGTAGAATATTGGTTGGCGAGGGTAAAGAGGCTGTTACTCTCAATATGATGTGAGAGTACGAAAATTTAAAAGGCATAGACCGACTTCAGAAAGTTTACTTTAAAATCACAGATTTCTTATGTGGGGTATTTAGTATGTTCATATTTTTATTTTTTTTTGTCCATTTATCGTCTTCAAATGTATTTAAAACAGGGAGTCTATAATATTGGTGTAATGCAAACATGGTTTGGATTCGAGAGGGACAAGAACCCCCCACCCGACTGTAGCTAGGGATAAAAGGCTCCCACCGTTCTCTTTCATTTCAAATCCCTGGATGCCTCAGAAATATTAACACAAAAACTGCATTCAACGATCATTCGTGTACATTACATATGCGATTCAGCATCATTCATTCTGCTATAAACTTATTGGTTCTATTTTTATGGACAGTCAACATTTTTTGGATATCGACATTTTCAAGAATCTTTGTTCAGACGTATGGAATTATAAAATAAATGCATTAAATGTTCATTCTGCTATAAACTTGTCACTTCTACTCTTAAAAATAGTCAAAACTTTTGTATACCGAAATTTTTACGAATTTTTTGAAAATTGTTCAGATGTGTGGGATTAAGAAATAAATACATTTAATGTCGTTCGGACATTCTGCTATAAACTTATTTGTTCTATATTTTTATGGACAGTCGAAAATATTGGGATATCGACATTTTCAAGAATTTTTGTAGAATTGTTCAGACGTGGGGATTATAAAATAAATGCTTTAAATGTTCATTCTGCTATAAACTTATAAGTTCTACTTTTAAAAATAGTCAAAACTTTTGGATACCGAATATTTTTACGAATTTCTGTAAACTTGTTCAGACGTGCGGAATTACAAACTAAAAAATTAAATGTCGTTCGAATAATGGTGTATGCGATTCTTCATCATTCATTCTGATGTCAACTTATCGGTTCTAGTTTTATGGATAGTCAAAATTTGTATGATATCGAAATTTTCTCGAATTTTTGTAAAATTGTTCCGACGTGTGGAATTATCGAATAAATGCATTAAATGTCGTTCTGACGATGGCGTTGCGATTCTGCGTCATTCATTCTGCTCTAAACAATTTGGTTCTATTTTTTATGGACAGTCAAAAATTTTGGGATATTGACTTTTCAAGAATTTCTGTAAAAATGTTCAGACTTGTGGAGTTATCAAATAAATGCATTTAATATCGTTCTAAGGATAGCGTATGCCATTTTACATCATTCATGCTGCTATAACCTTATTGATTCAATTTTTATTGAGTGTCAAAATTTTTGGGATATCGACATTTCAAGAATTTTTTAAAATTATTCGGACTTGTGGAATTACCAAATAAATGCATTATGTGTCGTCCTGACAATGGCGTATGCGATTCTGCATCATTCTGATATTAAATTTTTTAAGAATTTCTGTAAAATTGTTCAGACTTGCGGAATTATAAAATAAATGCATTAGATGTCGTTCTGACGATGGCGTATGCGATTCTGCGTCATTCTTTCTGCTTTAAACTCATTGGTTCTACTTTTATTAACAGTCGAAATTTTTGGACATGAAAATTGTCTCGAATTTCAGTAAAATTGTTCAGATATGTGGAATTATCAAATAAATGCAATAAATGCCGTTCTGACGATGGCGTATGTGATTCTGCGTCATTCAATTTGCTATAACCTTATTGATTCTATTTTTTTTGAGAGTCAAAATTTTTGGAATGTCGACATTATCACGAATTTCTGTAAAAGTGTTCAGACGTGTTGTTTTATGGAATAAAAGCATTAAATGTCGTTCTGACGATGACGTATGCGATTCGGCATCATTCTGATATCAACATATTCAAGAATTTCTGTGAAATTGTTCAGATGTGCGGCATTATAAGATAAATGCATTAAATGTCGTTCTGACGATTCTTCATCATTAATTCTGACGTCAACTTATCGGTTCTACTTTTATGGATAGTCAAAATTTTTAAGATATCGAAATTTTCTCAAATTTCTGTAAAATGCCCTTCTGACGATGGCGCATGCGATTCTGCGTCATTCATTCTGCTTTAAAATTATTGGTTCTATTTTTTTAAGGTCATTCCAATTTTTTGGGA